GTCAAAAGTTTTATGTATGAAACAATGTTACTTTTGTACCCATATAGTGGCTCAATTTAGATCACCATGGTAATATCAAGATTTCACATGTCTGAATTGCTAAAAGGAAAATGTGTGGCAGAGGTTGGCTATGCCTTACAGACATTGTGGTGTGTATCCAGTACTGTGGAGTTCATATATATTTTAAATTCACATACATAGTGCAATTGTTCTACTATTTTAAACATAAAAGGCTGTCAGCAGCTGGGGTTTGTGAAAATACACAGTGCAAGAGAAATGGTCTTGGAAGGGAATAAATCACATTTCAAAGATTTTAATTTATAAGCATATTTCTCAGGATTTCCAAACAATGGATAAATACTTGAATAGTCATTTTCTCCCCTAGGGCTTTTTGGTACATTTATTAAAAAAATAACAAAACCAGCAAAATAAAACAAACAAAAAGAAAAAATTGCAGGCCATTAACTAAAGGCTTTATAGTGAGCACTTGGAGTACATTTGAAAAATGTGGTTTGACATGATGAACTTTTGGGTGTGGGCCGTGCATGCAAAAGGCTGTCTTTTTACAGATGCTGGGAGACTCTGTCCCCACTGTTTACCACAGTCTCCAACAGTAATGTTTAATAAAGTTTCTTACCTCCTGCTTGAAAGATCAGGAGAAGGGAGGCAATCTGCTGCTTTGTAAAAACTCAAAGATATATTCAGGGAAAGTTGCTTTGTGTTAATGCTCAGTAGTATATAAAACATGCATTTTATCTATATATACAGATCTTACACATGTAGCATTTGAATTGTCTATATCATATATAAGGATATATAATACATCATTTTGCTTATTTGGGGCTAGATAAACATATTGCCTTCTTACTTTTAAATGAATATAAACATCTTTACTTATTTTTTGGTGTTTTTTTTTTTTTCAAAATGAAGGATTTTCAAAGTGAACCACATTGCCTTACATTGGCTTGCCTTTTCTGCAGATCAAGAGCACACACACACAGATAGCCACTGCAGTTCAGCTGACAGGCAGTGACTTGTTAAATTACATAGCTTGAGGGTATGTCTGAGCCCTCAATTCTTGTCAAATTAAGGTTGATATCACTGAGTTGGGCCATTCAAAGGTAATGGGCAACATAATATTCCACATTTTATTCTCCTTAACTTTACAAGTTAGTATATGTTTCCTGTATCCATGGAAGAAACATACAGTGTTGCAAGTTCTGTTCTCATATGCTTGATCTACCACAAAAAGCTTTCTTTTTGGTTTGCTGATTCCAGTAGCAACTGTAGTTAATCATGGTTCTGGAAAAAAGGAAAAAAAATTGGATAAAATAAACATGAAATCAGTGACAAAGGAAGTCTTTTTACATTTTGCCCTGTCTCTTGTTGTTTGGTATAATAGGCTGAAAATTCAGCTATTCTGTTTATTGGCAGAAATTTTAGTGATACAGCTGGGATTCATATGTTCCATATTAACTGAGTTATTGCTGTTTAAGTGTCTTGGATTGACAGAAACTTTACTTGCTTTTAAGGACCACACCTTTGCATATACTGCCATTATAATGTAATATTGGTAATTAAGGGAAGAATGTGTATTTAAGCTTACTGCTCAAAATTATGCAGGAGACAGTTTGATATTTTGGGTAATTCTTCAACATTAGCAAATTTTCAGAATATGTTACAACTAAAACTTAAAAAAGGAAATCAATTTCTTAAATAAAATAGGGATAATATGCACATGCTTTCCAGAATCAGAAAACGGTGTGCACCTCCTCCCTCCTTTTTGAATGTATCCCATCCAGTTCACAAAGTGTTTAATTGCATATTTTAATTTAATCATGTAACCATCTAATAGATGTAAGTACAAGTGCAAATTTAAAATGCAACTCCTTGCTTTACTGAAGTGGAACCATTAAGTCTGTGAAAAGAATGAGTTTATGAAAATGCATACATGTGTGAGTAACACTGAAAGCAGAGTTCAGCAATGCCCAACGGGCCACTTCTACAATAGCAATCCACTTCTGAAATGTTGGTCTCTGCAGGGAAGATCACTATCATTATAATTAGAGCTAGACTACAATGGACTGCTCAGAGTAGCTATTCCAAAAAGTTCTTTGAAGGTGAAAATGAGTGGTAGGCCTTCTCAGGAATAGAAAATTGCTTTCTCAAGTGAAAAAAAATCCACCAAATAAAACAAATCTTTGATAGCTAAAAGGCTAAAAAAAAATTAAATTTTGCTGATATTTAAAATTAAATCACTGCACTTCCAGTTAGAATATTGCTGATGGTCATTAAGAAAATAGATAATTTATATTTTCCTAGAATACATACTATGTAACCATACTTGAAAATAGATGTGTTTTGTGAGCAAATGAAGAGACAAAAATATAGAAGCTGCATCTTCTGTGCTCTTTTTCTTTTTTGCCCTTTAAAATTGCCAATTGCAAATTATGAAGGCCTAATTTCAAAGACCTGTTTAGTGCTCTTGTGTACATTAATACAAATAGGAGTATTGGTATGAAAAATATTTGAAGATGTTCTGATCAGGTTTTTTTTTGGTCTGGTTTTTAAATACTTGTCCAGTCTGTCTTTAACCTTCTAAAAGAAACTAGATCAGACAGTTGACTAAAACTGAAAACCTGATACCAAAGCACAGTCTGATCACACCAAAGCCAGCACACATTGCTATACAGGCAGGATTTTATACAGATTTACTGCTTCTCACAGATATCCTGGAACTTCATGTAGAAATTTCTTCAGTCTGCTAAAACTATAAACTTAAAACCACAGTTGCAAGAATCCTAGAAACTGAGAGAAAAGTTTTCTCCATGGAAGATTGCAGTGGCCCTGCCAAGAGCATTCAAATTAGGACAAAATGATTATGACACTTACTGCATTTTCATTAAAATTAACATTGACGATTTGGAAAAGAGGCCATAGAACTTAGCTCTGTGCATAAAGGAATTCTAGAAGAACATGAGGAAAAGGATAGGTCATAACTATGTAAGAGAAAATACAACTGTGCCAGTGGTCAGTCAGTCTCAGAGTTATTAAAGTATCCTGATGTTCAGAGGGCACCTCCTGTGTTTTAGTTTGTGTCCATCACCTCTGGTCTGAGAAAAGAACCTGGCTCTGTCCTCTCTGCACACTCCCTCCAAGGATTTATACAAATTGACGAAGTTCTCCTGAGCCTTCTTGAGTGTGAGCAATCCCAGCTCTCTCAAACTTTGATCGCAGGAGAGAGCATCTCCAGTTCCTTAGTCATTTCTGTGGCTGTTTGTACTTCTTTCTTCACAGTTGCTCCACTCTGTGCAACTTGGCAAGTTGAAAGCATGTAAAAAAGATCTGCTATAAATTTGCTCTTCAGATTTTGATGTGACAGTGGAACATAATAGTACAAATTGGAGGTAAATGGAAATATTTTAGCACATGTAAATGCGGCAACTCTTGTTTCTCTTTATGCTGAAATCAGAAAATGAGCAACTAAACTTTTTTTCTTCTGTATAATGGCCATAATGTGATCTCTCTACCTTTTTATATTACCCTATTTACTAGCAACTACATGATACTATAAGCTCGAGAAACTGTGTTTATTTAATACACTTGGTGGGTTATTTCTTTTATTTTCTGGAATCTTTATTTCATAGAATATAGTGTTTTCTTTGGTATTGAGTGGTCTAAAGTCTTAGAATTAAATCGATTTTTCAAAATGCCTAGGTTTTGTCAATCCCTATAGGCATTATAACAAAGCAATATGGTATCACAAACCCTTTGGTGCCCATGTTTGATGTGTGTAGAGGAAATACCATAACTACTGCAGAAAAGTATTCCTGAGTAATACAAGTCCACTCATTGCACTGACTAAGCTAGGAAGTTCTCTCCTGCCATTATGAAATTGCAGTAACCATATTGAACAATTGTATTTATGAAAAATTTGATTAGAGGTTTTAATATACTCTGGCATTTATCTCACAATTTAAACTTATGACTGCATGGTCCATTTCTAAGGATATTATAGTCTTTAGGTTTTAACCAAATATCTTCTGGGGTAAATAGGCACAGTAACTTATTTTTGTAAGCTAGTAAAATATGGTTTGTGGTTTCTTAAAGTTTTGCTGCCATAGAAGTACTCTATATTTTTATTCCTTTTTCTCATTGAATTTAGAAGGACTTCAAAGTAAATTGAAATTTCTGGGCTGACAAGATTCATAGGTTGTTTAAAAAATAATTTAATTTTAAAATCTGTAATTTAAGACAGTTTCAACAGTTGTAGTTAAAGTTTTGATCCTTTAAAAATATTTTTTGCTTTCCACCTAAAAACGTTTGTATCTGGAAACGTTGGCTAAGTCTTCATTAATTTGGGTATAAAGTCAATCTGTTGAATGTTGACTAGAGGTATCATCTAGTATAAAAAAAAAAAAAAATCACTGAAGAAAAAGAGTTGGCAGAGTTGAAATCCTGGGTTTAGTCTTGGAAATGACCATGGTGTCATGATGTATACAACAAAGCAGGATCATAATTTTGACTGCATTTGGACTTCTGTGGGTGTCTCAGTGCCCAGAAAGTTTCCTTATTAAGGGAAGTTCATGTATTTGTGACTCCCTCTAGTGGATCACTCTCTCAGCTCTACCCTAGGAAATGTTCTCCATATTAAATTCATGTGACATTACACATTCAGATGTCTTTGTTTTCATGGTGAGGGTCTGATTCCTTTCTCATGGACAGTATGAATGTGTTTGTGTACATCTCCACCCATTATCACACAGTTTGCAATATATCTTTTCTAAGATTCCTTTTCATGATGAGGGTGCTGACAATTATATCTCTCTATCTATCTGTGCAACTAACGTTGCACGTATAAATACATTCTCTTTTTCAGAGAATATTCTCTTTTTTTCTGTGCCACAAACCTCTTCTGTTTCCCAGACTTTCTATCACATGACTATGTTCTTGAAATGTCTGAAGACGTTTGCCTTAATTATTATTTAATTATATTTCAGGTACCACCAAGGTAAATCTTGTGAAGATCCCTTCAACTGCTTCCAGTCCTCGAGACACTGCTCTGGCAGCTGTTATCTGCAGTGCACTTGCAACAGTGCTCTTGGCTCTTCTCATCCTTTGTGTTATCTATTGCAAGAGGCAGTTCATGGAGAAGAAACCAAGCTGTGAGTTTCCAATTATTACTGTTTCTTGGTAATATTTATAGAGTGGTATTAGTTTGGCAGATATCTCTGCAGGTAAAGAAATGAAACCTATACATCATTTAAGCAAGTTTAGCATTGAGCTGGTCAACGTAGCAAAGCCCAGGACTTCATCCAAGTTTGCCAGCTGAGTGTGGAAGCATTTTCTCCTGCTACTGAGAAAATGCTGTGGAAATGCCCAGAAAACCTCCAGTTGTATCAATTCCATGACATACTCTGCTAGATGCTGCACAGATGTATTTGGATCATTCATGATCCAAGATAGGACATTACAGAGTTGCAATGTCAATGTGGAAATACCAGTTTGGAGGATCTGTGCATCAAATGCTATTGTGAAACACAGATTAGGTCATCAAGACAATGAATGTGGCCAGTGTAGATGAGAGATTTGTCCTTAAAAGTTTTGGTTTTATGGGCATATTCAAGATTAATTAAATGCCTAAGACAGATTTGTAAATTTCTTTTAAATCCCTAACAGCTCATCAATGTAATTTGTTTATAATAAACATTTTTTTGCTTCTTAATTTAAATTAAGAAAAAAGTGAAAAGCACTTTAGTTCCCATTTATAGTTTAAAAAAAATATATTAAAATATGTTTATAGCATCTAATGGATAACCCTGGATGCGAAACAAGAATACTATCTAGGATGAATTGATGTTATTGCTGCTTTCAGCACAAACAGAAGCTAAAAGGTTTATAGAGGCATTGTAAGAATTGTTCCTAACCTAGAATTTGCTTTACACATGAGTTTTGAGAAATTCTGACACAGTGAATTCAGACTTCATTTAGTGAAGTGCAATAACTTGTTTGCCTTGGCCTGCAATTATAGAGATTAAAGGAAGTCTGCTGTTAATATAAAGCTCTTGAAGATAATGTAAACAAAATCCCAGTGGCTGAAAGCTGACTCTGGAAAATTTCAGATGGGAAGCACTGAGAATCATTAACCACTGCAAAAACGTAACAGTGAATAAGATATACTCTCAAATCATCAAAATGAGAGCTGATGTCTTCCTAGAAGAGGCTGTAGTTGAACCAGCTGTTCTAGGGTTTGTTGCAAACCTGGGGGTTAAGTTATTGGAAGCCACATGGTCAATGTGGATCTTTCAACTGGAAAATGTATGGACATACTTTATAGCATGACAATTACACATTCTGTGAAGATAGAGGGCTCTGAGCAGGAAAAAGGGTAACACTTTACTGACATAGATTTTTATTCACTTTGTTCCAAGGGTCTCTGAGATCACAGGACATTCACTACAATGGATCTGAATTATCATGTTTTGATAGACCACGGCTAAGTGAATATGACCACAGAACATGTTGCCAGTGCCAAAGAAGTACATCACAGACATGTGGTATGTTAGGTCTACTGAAAGGTGACTTTATTTTATCTAACACTTGAGTTGTAAAAATTACATTTAACTGCAGAGCTAACACTGTCAAACTACCCTTTGTCCTAGGCTAATTTCTTAATAAGCAGAAACGATTTTTAAGTAGCTATTTGGGTTTATTTTTTGTTTTTTCCTGTATTCATTTCAGTGTCTTCACTTGAAAAAAAAAAAAAATTGAAATGTCTATTACATTTATTTCTGATAAAAATAGCACTGCATCTGGCTTTGAGACTTAAATTAGTGTGAAGGATTTACCAGAGAGTATCTAAGAATGTGCAATATATTCTAAAGTGCATTAACAACCCAGACAATTGAAATCCTTGCCATTTTTTGAAGTTGTATCAGAACAGATGCAGTTATGACATTAAGAAATACATAATTTAACACAAAAGCACAGGCTTAAATATCATCCTGATAGCTTAACTCAGAATGCTTCCACTTATGTGTATTCAACTGAGAAGAAAATTAATTAAAAAAAAAAGGTATTCATGACTGGCTTCTATATTACTTCTGGAGAAAGGACTTGGCTTTCATAAATATTTCAATTTTAAAGCAATAAAAATGTTTTTAAAAAATGTTTTTACAGCAAGAAATCTCTTTCCTCAATCCATGTATTATAATGTAACTGCCAAACTAATACTCAAGTTTGAAAAAGAGCAGAAAATAAGTTTATACAGAGCTTTGACAGTTTTAACACTATTGAATTCATTTTCATTCCCTAGGACCAGTTCACTTGATTCCCTCCCTGTGCTGTGATGAAACCTGTAGCATGGAGCACAGCAGTCACAGCTGTGCTTTCCACTCACAAACCACGCTTAATGAAAGGTAACTTAGTTTTACAAATGTGTATTAAACATGAAATATTTTTTAATTAATATTTATACAGAGACAACAGCTGCTTGAAGTGGAATGAGGGATTTTGATGAGCTGTACCCATATCATCCCAAGTTGTGCAAGAATAGGTTTATGGTGAAGAAATTAATTATTACTTAGTAAATGCTGACTTGATCCATGTGTTTCTCTGAAGAAGTGGCTTCTCTCACAAACAGATAATATTCCTTTTACTCTGTGGTTCCTTTGGGGCTTTGGCCACCCCCTGTTAATGGTTAGCAAGAGTTGCTGCATAAACCCATGAATTGGGGGAAATGAGGTACAATTCACAAGTGGCATAGAGATTATTTTTTTTTTTTAAGGAAGTATTTAGGACTGCAAATTTGAAATATGTATTATTTCTGAATTTCTAGCAGGTCTTAACCATTATTTTCTCTCGATTAGCTGAGTTTACGTGCAGTAGTAGAGTAGTTATTTTTACAGCCGGGCCATGAGCTAAATATATAACATTTATGGTGTCCTTCAGAGTTTCCTGGTTACAGATTTTAACACAGGATATATTTATTTATTTTAACTAGAATAATTTTCCATGTAAGGTTTAAATTGTTCTTCAGCTGTTTTGTTCTTATGGCCACATGTAAATAAAAATGTAGAGGGAGCTTCTTCATAAGTACTGTTTGTGCAAGGTGACTTAGTGACCTAAGTACAATATCTAAGTTTTCTATAATAACTTGTTTAAATACCAACAAGCTTGAGTCATCCTTGTATACCACTGAGGCTGACATATTGAGAGCTGTATACTTTTTGAGGAATCTTTTGGTTAAGGCTTTAAAAATAACTGTAATATCCATGCTATGTGGACATCAAAGATTCTGTGGTTCCTTCCAGTAGAAATGGAGCTTGTGCCAATTTCCTTTGCCAGAATAATGTATTTCCTTCAATTGTGGTGCAATGTCCTGACTTTTGGCCTCATCTCTGAAAATGCTTTGTGTGTATGTCAAAGCTATTAAAGCATTATGTTTTGGAAATGAGTAAGGCTGCTTAAAAACTGTTATAGGCCTGTTAATATGGGACAAGTTTTGTCACACTGCATATCAGACTTAATACAGCCTTTGCATTTAAAAAATCTGTAGAAGGTGTTTGAAAATAAAACACATTGGTATAAATTCCTGGTTTTGTTAATACTTATTTTGGTGTATACATACTGAAAAACACTAATGGCCTTTCAGCAGTGTTTACCACATGTCACTGTTATTGTGCACTTTAAATATACTTGAGGTAGATAACACTGAGTTTCCACTTCTACTTTCTTCCATTTTCCAAAAAATAAAAATAATGCTTGCTCTTCTTTAATATTATGTCCTTTCCACATAAAAGAGAATAGAAGAAAAACTTTTCATATTTTGAAGGCTAGGCAGAACAAACTGAAAAATCCAGTTTTCAAGTTTAAAGCAAACACAAGGTTTCAAGAAGCTTTGTTGCCTATTCCATTCTCCCAGTCTGAAGCGACTTTACTTCTTTTACTTCCATATTAGATATTACTTCCATACTTAGATATTTGTCTATCTACAGTTTGGAGGAGAAAAAAAACCCAAACCAACCAAACCTCCCCTGGTGTTGGAGACTGTAGACTCTGCTCAGCCATCTTTGTTGCTGCACTTTAAGACTGCTACATCTTAATACTCCCCTCCCCATGCACTCAGAAAAAAAATTCCTTCTTTGTGACAGTGTTTATATCTGAACAGTATTATAGTATTTTTTGTCATATTTCTGACCCTAAACAACCCCAGCTGTAGGTCATGTTTTGTGGAATCCGGGATTCACTGTCTGAAGTAGTGCTCACAAGAGCTTTTGTCATTTCCAGACAAGGAATTAAGTAATTAAAATACTGATAATATTTTCTGGAATGCTATGTAAACTATGTGTCTTTTATCCTTCCACAGAGCTTCTGATTCTGTTGGAGAAATGATTCCTGCTTTCCTTGGTTCTCTTTCACACTCTACCAGTGGAGACATTCCAGATGCTTGGCCTCTTATGCAAAACTCAGCTTGTTGTGACAGCATTTCTATCTGTGAATCATATTCAGAACTGACTGGAGGAGCTGCAAAATCCTGCAGCCTTGAGACTGAAAATGCAGCCGCTGTTGAATTGGATAATAACCAGGAACTAAGTGAAGTACTTATTTCAGCTAAGTCTCTTGATGGAAATGGTGCAAAGTCCTTTGAAATCTCTGAGCACAGAACATGCAGAGAAGCTTCATCACTTCGGAACTTGGCGACTGCTGAAAGCCAGCCAAAGTGTAATGGAACAACAAATGACTCTACAGACTGATAAAGAGGTAAAAAACATCACTACAGAGGAATGAGAATGAGTGCTCCAGGCATGTAGAGCCAGATAAAAATAGAGTTGTAAGAAGTTTCAGGGTTCTATTTCTCCATAGGTTACACCTAGCTATTGCTGAGATAAATTAAACCTCTACAAGAGATCGAGCAGTTTCACATTTTTAAATCATTAACTGAATTTGAAAGGTGTAATTACGCAAACTGTGGTGTTGAAATAATACTAACCAGAATACAGGGGAAAGTCTGTACACCGGTCAGCTTTTATCAAGGAATTCTTTCATTAAATTTCAAGGGAAAAATTAATAGTCTTATGATCAAACCATTGTGTAAGGATAACCTTTGTGTATGAGTGAGAACTGAGGAATTGGCTTTGCTTATTGCAAACAAAGCATAAAAGACGTACAAGTGTTCATCTAAAAATATTTATGGAGCCTTTCTGTGGAGTAAATGCAGTAGTTGTAGAAACACAAGAGAATCTCAAATGCCTTATAATTCCATTTATATTCCCATGTCATCAGATAAAACGTAAGTTAATCCATAAAATACAAATTTATCTGTAAAAGCTCAGAGAAAATGCAGGTCTGAGGTCAAAATGCAAAGAGGTGTCAAACAATTGTCTCAACTATGTAAGAGTGGAACTGTTGCAAAAAGTCACTCTGCTACTGCTTCAACTTTATCTTTTTTTGAATATTTTTCCATATTTTTAAAATGAAATTTTCTACTTTTGGAAGTAATCTGGAGCCTCAAGGAACTAATCTGTGAAAGGATCCAAAATTATGGCCTGTGTCCTGATGGAAAGTGGTGTTGTTTCTCCAGGCTTATGCAGGCTGTGGCTGGAAAGCTGAAAGAGTCCCTTGTACATGAACTCAGAGGCAGGAACCCAAGAAATTGCCACTAATATTAATAATGCACCAAACTTAATTAAGAATATTATGCTATCTGTAATTATGAAAATTTTGAGCCATCTGCAGAAGTAAAACTGCATTCCTTTGATCCTTTTCCATTTGGTTTGCATTAACACTTTTGTGTTATTCCTAAATATGAAGTAGAAAGTAATTAGTATTTAGGAAAAACCACACATATTCTGAAAACATGTAAGAGCAATAGTTTCTTTGTAAATCTGGCCTTAATTGTTTGGCTGACATTGTCAAGAGGAGGAAAGGGAAGGGAACTGACTGTTAAATCAAGAATTGTTTTGCCAGTGACTTCAATGGAACTTGTCACCCTGAAAATCTGCTGCCATCACTGACAATATCAGCCTTATCCAGGTGGCACATATTTCTCTCACTGTATTATTTACAGTATAAAGTTTTGTCTGTAACCATGCTGGGCAGTGCCTGCCCACATGTGAGATGGCAGCACTGGCAGTTTTATTTCTGTGTGTGCCCAATCTCATTTGGTGACAGTCATATTCTGTAGCTGTGTGTAGGAAGGGACAGTGACCTGGATACCACTTCAGATCTCAACACTTCTAGTTCCCAGCAGCTCTTGATGTTTTACAGGAATGTATTTCCATATTAACAAGGTTTTCAAAATCAGAAGTTTGTGAGTATTTTCCCACCAAACCATGCATCAGCTTCAGAGGTATGCAATTAATATTATTTAAGATTTTTCTTAGGTCAAAAGACCCACAGAATTTCAAAATATAGCTACAAAAATTAGCTTTTATTTCACTATACTTGTTATGGTATCTGAACTGTAAATTTTCTTATAGATTCCTATGTGTATGGAGACAGCTTTTCTAGCATCTCAAAATCCAGTATGCTTTGATAGTTTTCTGCTGTCCTCTATAACTACTGAGATTTGTGTATAATTTTGAATAATCTAGGTCTTCAGGAGGGTTAAGTTTTTCTTCATTTTTTTTTCCTAGAATAGACACTACTGATTCATTTTGTACAATTTCTCCATGTTCAGAGTTTACAGTGCATCATGAGGTGTGCATTTTTGGCAGAGAAATTTCAGTAGTGTTCATGGCACAGGACCAGGACTGGGCTTACCTGTGATGTATCTTCAGGATGAACACTGGCCAGCTGCACAACCCCAAGACAATTTCATCTCGATCCATAGCATGTTTTCCCATCTTTCATGCTTTTTTGAAATATTTTGAGGCAAGAATGGTCTTTGTACTCCCTGTGGATGTACTACAGTCTTGCATAGGTCATTGTTTTATTATTATACTTCAAAGGAATAACATAAAATCAGAATATAGCCAATTTTTATTTCTGTACAGACAAGTCTAAGCTTTTTAATGTGGTTTTAATACAGGTTTAATCATCAGGTTTAGGTGAATTTTACAGCAACCAGTAAGTATACCTCTACTCTTTTAGTGTTTACCCTAATATAGAAGTACATGCAGTTTTCTTATGAACTTATGTAACCACTCTCCTGTCACTTTTTTTAGGGACTGGAGTGATTTCTCTCAGCTTAAAGCTGAATGCTTCCTCTACACTCCCCTGCTGATATTCATCAAACATGGTCTGGTCTTCAGTGTTGCATGGTTTTCAAACCAGCTGGAAAAGAACGGCATCATTTCACACCTTCTGAGCAGTTGTGTCTGAGCTGTAGCAGCTGGGAAGTTAAACTTCAAGGAGCATCCTATGAGGACCCTGAAAGTGGATTTATGACCTTTTCAATCTCTCTTTCTATTTCCTCAGAGTCTCAAAATGTCTAATGGAGTGAGCTTAATAGTATATGTAAATACAGCAAGAAATAAAAATACTTCAGTGTGTTTAGGGAGATCTCAAATATGGCTACATATGGGGTCAGAAGATGTGGGACAACACAGTACCAGTTACTCTGCCTGCAGATTTGTGCATGCATTAGGATTTCTTTTTCTGCTGGTTCTAATTTTAAGTAATATTCCTGCTATTGAAGGAGATAACAAAAATCCATTTCTGTTTATAAAAGGATCACCTATTAATAAACTGAAGCTTTTATTATGTATTACATTATATTCAGTAAACTAGTTTGGGGAGTTAGAGAACTAGCATGTTACAGTAGGTGTGGTTGAAGTCCCCTCCATCCAATTATTACATTTTTGGGAGGTGGCATTGTTCTGTTAAGTGTAGCAGGAGATTAGCTTTAAATTAGATTTAGTTTAATGAAGGTCAGACATATAGATAAGGACATTGTGTTTAATTAGTAGTCTCAGTATTGGAATACAGCACTTCTTGTTATAGCATATAATTTTGAATGTTGAAATAATTGTAATCAACTGTCAAATCAAAACGTCAGACTATAGCAGGTGTGCCATGAAAGTATTTATACAGTGAGGCTGTTACCAAGATTTTTTATTAATGCATTATTTTTAAGGGTCAAGCTCTGTGGTGAACTATTTCCTTCATTTAGGAGTCCATTGCATTCAAGATGCTCTGTCCTTCTCACTGTAGTACTGTGTCAAGTCAAATTTTCCACACAAAATATAAAAATCTGTTTGCTTTATCACATCCCTTAATATATTTTCTCTTTTTTTCAGCCATTTTCATCCCTAAAATAGTTTTTGCTTCTGTGGATAATCTCAGTAACCTCTACTGATTCATTACACTCAACAGGCTCACACATGCCTGTGATGAACTCTAGCAATTATTCCTTAAAGTACCTGATGTGCCTTGACTAAAGCAAAGCAATCAGCAAAACAGATGCAAATTGGCAATAAATATTACTCATCTTTCCACACAGGGTTTGTGTGGCAATGGAAATGTTGAGACAGTATTAAGAATCCATTATGGGAAAAAGACTTTTGCTTTGAAGCACGCAGAAGAAGGTTGGACCTGCACAAGAATAGGTAAAAACAGTACAGGCAGCCATGGCAGAGAGATGCTCCAGCTCTTCGCCAGTGAGATTATTCATTTGTGCAAAAGCCATGAGTAACAGTTCCCACATTTGAACCAAACTGAACAAGTTACCCAAGTGATTTTTTTTTTTTGCTGTTGTTTGGCAAACACTTCTTTGGTGTTTTAAGAAGTAGATACCACCTTTTGGTCACTGATGGAAGAATAAGCAGTTACACAGTACAATTACTCAGATAAATACTTTCACATATATATTTAAATACGAGTAGTTTTGAATAATTTCTTAGTATACTTTCATACATTTAAGAAGTTACAAAACATTATTTTTCACTACATGTGCATGAAGAGACGTGCTTCTTTGTATATACTTTGTAAATAGAAAAAAATCCAATGTGCATTTCAGTATATGGCAAAATATTTTTAGAACATACAGAGATCCAACTTTTCACAAATAACAGTTCTTGAAAAAGTGATGTTCAAAAATTTTGCCAGCATCTGCCACAGTATGTTTTCTCATTGGAATTTAAACTTTGTATAATTGTTTTTATCCAGCAACCCTAGAGAAAGATAGTTTTCTTTTTTTTTTTTTTTAGTGAGTGAAAGCTTGAGAGTGAATTGGGAGGCAAAAATTAATACAGTATTTTTTAAATATATGTGTATATTTTGTATATACTTTTTTTTCTTAATTTAACCAAATTGGTCTTTTGTATATTGCCTGTGGCAAGCAATGTTTTACATGCCAATAGAAAACATCCACTATCACTGCATTTAGACTGCCCACATGACATGTCTAGGGACTTACAGTGCTGTTTTAAATACTCCTTTAACAAATGTAAATTAAAATCTTGTATAAATTGTTTTGTAATGCTTTTTCTACTTGTGAATAAAACGTTCAGTGAAATGACCAGTCTTGGTTTGTTGACCTCAAATTAATAATAGCTTTCTGTAGAAATTTAGTGATGAATTGTTCTAATTCTTTTAGAATTCCATAATGGTGTAATTAATTATCTTAAGGTTATGGTAGAATTCAGAGCATCTTTGTCTTGAGATGTTAGTGGTTTAGCAGTAACATTATTCTTCAATCAGGAGGACCCCAAAGAAGCAGTAAGTTAACATCAATGCTTAAAATCATAGTGCTTCAAAACTGTTTAAAAATTCTGCTTCTCAAGAAAGGGGGGGTCAGAAAAAAAGGTGTGGAAAAAGACAGGTTGCTGTCTTTACAGTGTCTTAGAAAAGAGCACCTGGTGCTCCACACTACTGGGTTGTCTCAGACAAGACAGATAAGCAAATAATGAAAGGAGCTGTATTTTTGAAGCAGGATTGGAGTCATGGCCCCAATTTAAATGATTAAGATAGGAATGGAACAGTCTGACTGACAAGAGTAGAAGACGGAGAAGAAAGAGTAATTTGATAATTGTATAAAATTGGTCCTAATGATAAAGTCATAAGCAGTGACTGGAAACTGAATCCAGATAGGGATTGCCGATAACATAAAGCCAAGGAGCTTGTGCTGGAGTATGAAAGCACTCTTGATTTTTGGGGGGAAAGTTTGGGGGAGACTCAAAAGCTGCTTTGTCCCTGTCTCTGATTTAGTTGAGCAAATTTCACATTGGCTCTTCTCAGTGTAATGCTGTTATTTCTACATTCTTTGAAATACACAATTCAGAGCTTAACTGAGGATCACCTGGCCAGAATAGCAAGGACTCCTTATACCCTATGTCCATGTGCTGCCCTCCTGAGCAGTTTCCTACTTGTTTTCAGCTGTGACTGTCACAAGTGGCAGCAGTTCACGTGCTCAGGCCCACCTGAGTGTCCTTGGAGTTCACCTGGAGGCCTGCAAGTCTGGTAGGACGAGAAGCACCTGGCACGTTTGGGAGGTCACTCTGTGCCAAGACTGGGATCTTTGTGACTCTCAGCACTGCCAGGACTGCAATGGATTTTTGCAAAAATCTGAAAAAATATAATCAATAAACAGGAATTGAAAGACAGATACTCTATCTGGAAACAAAGTACAACACAGAACACATGACATACATAACCACAACATTTGCACAGACATTTGCTCATATCAATTACTATATAAATGTCATTAACAAAGCTGCAATTTTCCATCCAAGCTTTCCAGAAGGTCTACAAAAAACCCACCCACCCCAAAATCTTTTGCATTGCATTGCTATTCAGTACTACAGCATTTCCTGCCTTTTCTACATGGTAGACCAAGCCCTTAATCCAGTGCTCCTCATCCTACCAGGAGTTTGAGATCACATGGCTTTTCCCTTTGTTGTGGTCTCTTTGAGGGCCTTTGGTTTGCATTCCTATGAAGTCCCTCCAAGCAACAACCTCCATGCATTAAATTAATCCTCTCACTGTCTTTGGTGATGGAGGTTTAGATCGCTACCTGCAGCACATTCCAGCGCAGACACTGCTGCTTTGTTTCGCCCTTTTAACAAAGGGGGATTGAAGGAGGGTGCAGTGTTTTATCAGGCACGGAGCAAGCTGAGGCTGGGCACTGCAGAGCAGAGCCACACAATGCACACTTTGTGCTGGCAATTTAATCCATATTTAGTTTTGGCCTGAGTGATGGTAAAACCCATTAGCTCTTCACATAGCAGCACATGAGCCATTTTGATTATGTCTGATAAGGTAGCGCTTTCAATAGGATAAAAATAATCGTGGGTGGATTTGCTGGGGAGCCTGCTGCTTTCCACAACAGCAGTGAATGATGGGATTAGAAGAAACGGTTTCTAATAGCCTACTGATGGAGAGGGTGGCAGATTGGGGGCACACTGAGGTTTCTACACAGAACCACATCTTCAACAGCAGGGTCAGTCAAGTAGGACTGAAGGGGTTTTCCCATCATTTGATTTTCTAAATCCTTATCACAGTGGGACTTTTTTTTTTTTTTTTGGTTGATCTCACGAAAGGAGATTTGACTTGTTCAAAAGGTTATAAATGACATTTTTCTAAAGCATTGGTGGAAAAGCAGACAAAAAGAGAAGGTAGCTTTTAGAAAGTGCTTCCTCTGAGCCTCAGTCTTTGTGGAGTTTTCCGTTTCTTTTGCCCAGCTCTCAGTCTCAGTTTATGGATGGACAATTCACATGCTATTTAGTATGCAAAAATTCCCCTATGTTTAATAGCTAATATATCAAAATCTGGTTGCAACCAACAGTTTGATTTACAGCTTAGAAAAAAAAAATAAACCGTTGGAATTCCAGGGATCATTTTGATTTGCCCCAGATCTGTATCACACACGTCATTGGAACATAACAGTAAACATATATAAATACAGAATATGTACAAAATAAAAAACTTGTCACTTTGCAAATGGCCTGAGGCAGGGCATTGTCCAGGTCAGTTAGTAATTTTATTCCTAAATCCTTAAATTTGAGGAAATTACAGAACACTGTGGACCAATTCAGGGGAGACCTGTACACCACCCAAGCACTTATTCTGCATGTGGCAGAGATTGCAAAATTAACTGAGAAAATTTTTAAAAATACCAAAAAACTAAAGGTTCTGTTTCAATTTTTTAAAATGCCTTTCAGCCCAGGCATCCATGTGCCCTAGACATTTCATAGGCCAATACGGGAGCCTTAGTGGGGGAAAAAAGTTCCACACAGTGGGTATTTCACAGACCAATATTGAACCCAACAGCAACAGCAAAGGTTATTTGTTATCAAAATAAGAATGAGAAA